CATTATTGCCAATCATGGTGTTCAGGGTCTCCAACCCACAATATGACAATGGGAGAATGGAAATCATTTTCAAAATTGTCCTCTTTGTAATAAAATCAACATGACGCTGTAATTGAACTATTAACTGAGGTAGATGATTAATGACCCTGGTGTCTTATTTTATAACAGACAGGTTTGACAAGTCACCATCAAAATATTACATAACTGATTTAGACATATTTATCTTACAAATATCTTTTAGAGATTTTCCAGTCAAATTGAAAATTCAAAAAGGATTTTTTTTAAAATAGGATATACAAATCTAGAAGAAATCAAATTAAATCTGTGCATTTTCCCCTCTGACCTTCAGCAAACTCATACATGAAACTACTACCCATTGTGCTTCTTAAGCTAACAGTTATTGTATAAACATTTTCCTATATTTTCTATTGATGCACTTGAATTGTTGCCAGAATTTGAAATATTACGCGTTTAAAATTTGCACAAAACTTTAAAATTTGTTTGTCTTTGTTTCATTAATTTTTTTTTTTTTTACACAATGTCACTTCAAAGTTGTGAAAAGAAAACTGTAATGGCTAGTTAAGAGTTATCTCCCCTCTGTCAATATTGATGTTGTCAGAAACTACAAAAGGATATCAGCTTGAAGCTATGTATTTTAGCAGCAATGAAAAATGCAACATTATACACAAATTCTAATTTTTTAGATAGCTTCATGTTTTCTTTACTTTTTTCCAAACATGTAAAATTCTTAGATATTCCCCTGTTGACATCAAATCAAAAGAACGATTTCATTTCTATATTATTATTATTAAGTTATTAATATTCCTTTTATGTCCTCCAAGATTACATAAAAAGAATAAATACAATTAAAACGCAATCAACATTAAAGTAGAGTTGTATAAATGTACAAAGCAAATCATAATCGTGTAATTGAGAAGTTTTAAATATTTGATACAGAAATCTTACATTTACAAGTCTGAAATATTCCAAATCTTCTTTCAACATTTCACAGCTAAAAGTACTCGCCAAGAAAATATTTGCTAAGTCAAAGTCTGACAAATTATTCAACCACGTCATGAAATTTATGCCCAACTTATTAAATAAGTGACACCTTAATTCATCTCAAATATCAATATTTCCATAGCAGTGACAAATAATATATGTAATAGAATCATCGCACAACATACCACAGTAGTGACACAATTCTTCATGGTTCAAAATGCAAGAGCTTACACATATTTATAAAATACACTGTCTATAAATATTGAGGATACTTTATTGCTAATTTCCATGAGTGATGTGTTTTGAGCTTAAAATGGATAAACTCTGAAAAGATTGTTGTCATAGAGAATGATATTACGTATGAATAAGGTAGAACCTGGATTAAGGGTCAATTATGCATATCAAGTGAGTCACAACTACACATTTACAAAGGAGATCATTCTTATACAATAAAAATGATGGATGAAAAAAGCTAGTGCTTGCTGCTAAAGCAGTATCAATTTGAAAATTGAGGGAAAACTTTTTAATATCTAATGTCAAATAATGTCAAATCCTAAAATCAACAATCAAAATTCTTTAAGAAACATTTGTTATGGTATTAGGTACACTTGTCTTGTCGAAAATGTTCTCCTACTTAATAAATACATGCTAAAACTAAAGGTTTTCTGAAAATTTAGTTATTTTGCCAATGCTAGTTAACAAAAATATCTAGCAGTATGATTTAATGTTGATTATCAGGAGTGAATTAGTTCATGTATTTGGTTTTTTAATAATAAATTCAAACTTTATTGATAGTCTGTTTTGAATAAAGTAAACTTTTCTGGTAGTCTGTTCTGAATAAAGTAAAACTTTAGGAGCAACGTATTATGTGTAAAGTGGGTGAGAAATTCTATGAGAGGTTACAGCGGATGCGGGGCATTAATAAGGATCATAACGGGCTTGAAGTATTAATATCGAAAGTCAAATTTTATGTTTGGTCGATAATGCTAATGAGAAGTGGAGATTATTGAAATAAATCTACTACATAACCAATGGGACATTTTACGGGAAGTCTTGTATAAGAGAAAGTGTAATCTTTGTATGGTGTAGAAAATATCGAGAAGAAACTGTCAGGATGTGGCAAATAGTACAAGTAGTTAATGAGTGTATGGTATTAGGTCTCAACTTTACTAATCACTTATGGTATTAATAAAGTTTGCTAATGTGTATTTAGTTATATGAACATGTGAACATAGTGTACTATAGACCACGTCAGTGTGTAAAACTCACAAATTCACGAAGTCCATGTATGCATTATTGTGAGCCATGGCACTTTTGAAATTAATTAAGATCTGGCACGGAAAAGTGATTCTCTAAGTCCTCTCCGCAATAATGTTTTCTCTCATTTCTGGGAGAGGGGTTCCGATATTCACCCCATATAATAGTGAGAGAATTCTCGTACTCCTCATAATGTTTTCTGCTTTATAAATGGCTACTTCAATTACTTTTCATGTTGTAAAATGAGTGTTGACAATGTTAAACTAGAAAATGGTCTTCCCACAGCGAAGTAAAACTTGCCAATTCCGCCTAAACCACATTTTGCGCGTGAGAGAGAGAATGAGAGGGGGGGGGGAGAGAGAGAGAGAGTACTCATAGTACTATGCTTATGGGGAATACATTCTGGAATTTAACTCGTATTAAATGTCACTTTTGTGACCCAGTTCCCCATAATTCAATAACTCATTGTTATGAGAGCACCATGCAAAAATTCGTATTTCTCGCCAAAGATAAATATGTTATTTTCACAGCCGGATGAAATGGGGTGGGAGAATTGTTGGTAATATTCATATTCGGAAAGCCTCGGTCTTTGTCTTCAGTTGGCGGTAGAATTTGAAAAAAAAAATCATTCTGATCTCTCTGAGTCACTGTCCCTCGTTTAACTCTGTCAGTACATATGGTATACCGAGGCTTGACAGCTGATGGAGGCTAATATTGTTAAAAGGTGGACTGGTCACAATGTTCAGTAGCTTAAATGATCACGATTACAAGTGATTATCGGAAAAGACAAGAGAATGGATCGTTGTACCACCATTGAGAGGGAAATATTGCGGCCATGGAATTGGGGAGTGGGAAAACGTGTTCCTCACAACGTTAGACGATTATCCAAGCTCCCCACAAGTATATAGTGTCGCTGGTAAGAGAGAGCGAGGGAGAGAGATCCAGAAAATCGTCGTTATGGGGATATACATTAACCATTTATTATCCAAATTCAACGGTGCGGCTACTCTAACTACTGTGGGGAATTTTTTTCTTTTATACCCCACAGTTACGGTGAAATCTGATAGAGAAGAGAATCAGAGAAAAAGAGATACAGACGAATATTGACAAACAGAGGGACACATAGATAGACACAGATAGATATATTCGGAGAAAGACATAGAGACAATCCGAAAGACAAAGACGGACGTATAAATACCTACAAAACACGCCTACGGAAAGACAGATAGACATACCAATGAACGTTTGGATGAGTTCATACGCGGACATGCAGACAGACAAATATACATAAAGATTTATTAACTTCCGGACAGACATCAACATACAAACAGACGGACGGACGTCCGCACAGACAGAAGAAGCGAGAAGTAATGAAATGAGAGAGTCGTCCCTTTTCGTGAATGATAAAAAGATTATTCATTAATTTAGTTCGCACGGGACAGAAAACACGCACTGAAAAAAAATCCAAGTGTCCCGATTACCACACCGACTTGTGCAACTAATTAAATTTCATTTTATCATGGGAATACGCGATATTTTAGCTGACAACATTTATTTAACATTTAAAGTTCAACGTAAGTTACAATTGCCTAGACCCAAAGAAAAAAACACACAGCAGCGACTACAAATGATAAATCTAGCATCTCACCAGAAGGTATACACGTGTACATCAGTACATGTAGTCTAGTTACGTACACGGGGAGGTTTTTTTAAGTGGATAATTTCGCAGTCAATGTGACACGCGTAACGAAATCAGCCAATGCGCGACTGGGGTTTGATCTACTAGAGTCCCTACCTAAATTAAGTTTGGATAAAAGTATAATTTGTGACCGATGAAAGAAATCTACAATCATTTCGCTTCGTGAAAATGTGTAGTTTTAACACATTTCAAAATATGAGAGGCGAAAATTCCTTTCACATAAACTTCCACACCCTAGAAAAGTTTTCATTCTGTCAAATATATATTAAGGTAATTTACCATCTTTAGCTCGTTGGGACATAAAGGACAGACGGCTGTTCGGTATATTCAGATTATTACATTAAGTCAGATATTACAGGATGTCTGTAAGGTAATGATAACCACATGTTTAAGTAGGTTTAATTACCATTATACCATTACAGCTAAATGTGATCAACTATACAGGCTGTTATCTCTTAAATACCACTGTAAGAGGAACGGGTTGGTGTGGCTTGTGTATAATGTTAGATACGGTCTCTGTCACTCAGCTGACGAAACATGCTTCTGTGGCTCAGTAGGTAGAGCCGGTCGATCATCGCGCCAGTGACACGGGTTCGATTCGGTAATTAAACAATATTAAAAGGAAATATATTTTCGATCTCCGTGGAGTCGGTGACAATTCTCATGTCTTTTGCATTAAAAATACCCCCCCCCCCCGCCCACCACCAAAACAGACAGGAAGGCTCCTTTTAACAGCTCTCGTCTTCACCAAATTATTATTAGAAGTGTTATCAAAACATAAAACATTGAGTTCACGGAAGGGACTACATCATTTATTTATTTGTTTATTTCTTCTTCTTCTACTTCTTCTTCTTCTTCTTCTACTTTCTTTTTCTTCTTCAATATCTATTTTTGTGATTCCATTCCACTCTCGGGAGAAACAACGAAAAAAAAATCCTTGAAATAACAATCTTAACAGTAATATCAGAATAAACAATAAAGTGATCTTAAATCTTTGTTCAGATGTATATAATTCATCATCACGGTAACTTTATATGTGTAGTGTGGAACCCGGATATGTGAAAATATTCTATTATTATGTCACTGCTAACGAAATCAAGAAAAAATGCCCAACGCCAGCCGATTTGATCTTGGTAAGGATTTCGCAACATAATTATATGCTGAACATGTCAGCAGGATTGTTATTGAGATAATGTTTTTGTACTGTAAAAGTTGATTTTCTGATGATTCAATTATTCGAAGTCTTACCAAAAGCCTGAAGGCAAATAGCTGTGAGGAAACATCGTCTTGTCTAATAATTTTGTTTTATTTGTAGTCTTCAATACTTGAAATAACGAAATAATAACCAAACAAACAAAACATTTATATTAAAAATAACCTCCTTTATAGCATTTTGTCGAATCCTTTTCTTATCATGTTTGCACGTTCATTTATATATACACAGGGACTTGATTCTTACAAAATATTTGTGTTCAGACCCTAAGTTAGTATAAATTCGTTTTATTTTATCATGTATTCCGCATTTCAATAACCACTGGTTTTGCTTTATAGATAGATGCTAAACGTATGTATTCCTATCCAAACATTTTGTATATGTACCATTCTACGAAAAACTATTACCATGAATAGTCATATTGAATCTATTTCAGCGAGTTGGACACGAGGTGTTCTCTACCGTAGCGACTGATGTGTGTACTTCTGACCCTGATTTTGGGAAATGCGCCGTTACTTGGATACCGAATTAATCAATCGTTATTGGTGACATTTTCTAAGTTCAAGGAATGGAGAACTCGTAAGGAATACCGATAATTTAATTTTTAGTTGCCTAAAGGACCAAATGGGTTGATACAATAGCATGGAGGCAATCTTCCGTTAACTCCTTTTTGGTGATGAACAACAGCGCGGATTTTTTTTCTTACCTTTAGTTAGAGAGTCCTTTGGGAAGAGAACCCCATGCAGTATACAAGGTTCGAGTGCCTCCTGGAGTCAGAAGGGCGGGGTTTTACAGCAAAAATAGCTGAGTCACATTAAAATCATTTTTTATTTTTTCTGTTGGGATGAAGGTGTCTGTTCAAATTTGGAATGACGCATCCCGGGATGAAAAGGACTCAACTTTGTATAAATGATGGATCTGACCCTCTTGGACAGAGGAGTGAAGTCCGTTAGAGGAAATAGCGGAAGAACTTTACTTTTTTTTCTTATGTGAATGTCAGAATGTCCAGGTGAATGATGGACTTCTTGCTTTAAAATACTTTCCTATGTCCGAACCGATATGTCTAATTGATCGCTTCCAGTTGGATATATGTGACTAATCAGACAAGTAGTGGAACCCTTGTATTTTAAAGGTGTACTGGAATATAAATTGTTTGTTTAGGTCCTTCACGATGTTGTCATTGCAGAACTGTCCCATGTCAGACCAAACGGAGATCACTGTGGAAACCCTCCGGATCTCGTAAGAAGGACAAAGCTAACTTCGTCGAACGAGCAAAAGCCATGAAATTGTTCAACTATGGACTCGAGTTATCCGTGGTGCTGACTAAGGATCTGCCCCAGGATAACCTCTACTGGGAAAGAAAATTCTGCCACAAGTTTGAAGAGAAGCACATGGTGCTGCTTCCTCTTTGTATCCAGCGACAGATCAACTATTGGTATCCAGTTCCTCGTTAGGTAGGTATTTTACGGTATCGATTGCAATGTAGTTGTTTAACGGTCAGAATTTGCAATGTGCTTCAAAACTGGTACACATACCATTGATATATTTTTTCATTCGTTACAGATTCGTTGCACCATCCAGGCAAGAGAGGAGATCGTAAAGTAGTGACGTCATTCATTTGTGCGATCGGAACACATTAATTGCATCGTCGATATTCAGTGAACATTTACGGCCTTCACAAGTTCCGATAGAAATGAACTTTACCAATGATATTCAATTTTTTTACTTGTTATATTGGTCCGTGCATCTGGACCTCGTGTGGCCTTATAAAAAAAATGTACGGATTTCGTGTTGTGTTAGTCATTAGAACTGTAACCATGCCGATAGTAATGGCCGAACTTATTAGTTGTAGTTGCTGTTTCGGTCATCAGTTGTGAATACAACTTGTAGCTGACCATTTGCAGTATATGTTTATATATCGCAACACTGATCTGTTGACTTCGTCATACTGGTCAGTTCGAAGAAGAATGTAACAAATCTTAACCGCTAGTGATCTCTTGAGTGACGGTTACCTATGTTGTATAATACAGAATAGAAAATATCAATACGATCGGAAATGTGTTTTTAATCTTTTTAATCTTTTTTTTTTTTAAATTTCATTGCGTTTCTGATAGTATCTTTCCAAAGTCGAAGGACGATTGACGAACGAGCATTGAAGATGTGGAGGAAGGGATTGTCGAATTGCTCAGGGCAAAGGCATTCATTTTTCAATATCTACACCTAGTTGTTTGCTTTCTTGTTTGCTTGGTTTAACACTCAATGGACAGTCAATGTCACTTTGAGGCGGGGTTTCCTAGCAGCGGCTTGTGGCTACCTCACTGAACAGCATACAGAAAGCACGTCGCATGCATTCAGAGCAATTTGGGTAAAACATCTTGTCAAATATCACAGTCACGACAACACAAACGCCACAGTTCTCAGTTAAACTACTCGAAATGAAATACTACATACATGTCTACACCATGTTCTGCAAGAAAATAAAGGGTCACTGTAACAAGGTTGGAGAATTTCAGGATTGTTTCATTCACTCAGACCACATAATACAGATTATCCTATCGATTACATGTACACTGTATCATAAAACTCTCATCCACTCTCAAAGTACTATATAAAGGATGTTCTATTACAACGAAATCAGGGCAAGCTTCCAGTTTCCTTGGATTATTTTTTTTTTCTTTTAATTTTTTATTTGTTTAATGATTATTTTGTATCACACCATCATTCAGCGAGTCAGTCTACCTTTTTAGTAGTAGCAACAGCATTTAAAATATCTTTTTACTTGACTTTACAAATCTTAAGTAACAGTTTTACACTTTTTATGTTTTCTTTCTAACAAAGATTGGAACAAGCCATGTTGTTTTCGTCAAAATAAACACCAAGATATTTTACCACCCTAAGTCATTCAATAGCCGCTTATCCACTATCAAGACCAAACTCTTTCTGTTTTATCCTTATTAGGTAAGTCCAGACACTTCTCCTCTACTAGTTTTAGTGTTTTCCCCACGTCATTATACCCCATAAACAACAGCGTATCTCACACTAACTGACATATATATCTATTATTTATTTTGATATATTTTGAATATGTTATACATTTCATGAGTTCCGCGGCTATGGCAAACTAGCAGGAGCAGTCCTGTCTTATACCACGTGATATCCTGGAACTTCCGGTTAACCAATTATTGTTCTTTACACATTCTCTTATATCAGTGAATAACCCTTTAACACAATTTATAAACGACACCCCAAATCCAAATTTGTTCAAATTTCCGATCATGAATTCCTATGCAATCATATCAAAGCTTTAGAAAAATCTAAAGAAAAAAATATGTATTTATATATAGAAGAATCAATGTTGATTTTATCTGAGAAGCCAGCTATGTCCTGAATTATTCTGATATTAAACTAGGAAAGATTTATTTCGTATAAAAATTTCTTCTATAAGAACCTTTGACTTTTCCACTATGTATACTACCATACCCCATTCTTCGTTCTCTTGTTATGAAAACTTTCTCTTCCAATAGAACGGCGGTGTAAGTAAATGGTTGGGAACTATACTGAAACGTATTTCGTAAGAAAATTTACATTCGAATCAAAGAAGAAATATAAGGAGGACGAAATCATGAAAATGACAGAGTTGCTGGTTGACAACATCTTCGTCGATTTTGGTGGTAAGATCTTCCAACAGACTATCGGCATACCAATGGGAACCAACATGCGCCCCTCTGTTGGCCTGTCAAAGTAGGTAAAAAAAACCATGCAAAGTCGTTTAAAGTCACCTTCAGATATATTGATGACGTCTTGTCATTAAATAACAAGAAATGTATTGACTATGTCCATCGTATACATCCATCAGAATAGGTAATCAAAGACACGACAGACTCTTCTTCATCAGTTGCTTATCTCGATCTTTTCTTTCAACGAAACCAACGTAGACAACTTTTCATAAATATATATGATAAATGTGATGATCAAGGTTTACATGGCGGGTGTCGTCGATGAAACAGAAGACGATTATGCTTCCGGAACACATGGTCTTATTTTCCTTGTACTTTTTCATGAATCTCCTTGTAAATCTTTCTTTTGTTCATATTTTGCCCTAGCTTTATGGAATTTCAGTTGGAATTATGACTTTGTTGCCATGTTGGCATTTTTTTTTTATTTTTCAAAATAAAGTAATCGGGCTACTATTTCATAAATTCATAGCCTTTCTAAGCTATTTCTTCCAATAGACCCTGTAACGTTTCTTTGTTGTCATCGCTTCCATAGTCTGATCTATATATAAGACATATTAGGATACAGGCACAGTTTGTTTTCAAATAATTATATGTGTTTTTGAAGAAAAGGTAGGCATATAAAACAGCAAGGCTATAGTATAGTAAACTCAAAACGAATTGTTGTTGTCTTATAGCTCAGTAGCCTTCTGTGACCTCCTATTAAATGTCCATGGGAAATAAATGTATTCTTTTTATTATTAGCATTATAATTTTCGTTTTGTATCATCTAGTACTAATTTCAAGAATGTAACTAATCTGTGACAATAAATTTATAAAAGTAGTCAGTCCCCGAAATATTCAGCTAAACTAAAAAAAGAAATCCGCCGGTCATGGTACAGCATTTCCGACGGAAAAATCCTGATTTGTATCCAGATTGTACCCCGTCCCTAACTCTACGCAGCTTCTTTGTTTCCGGTGGTTTTCTAGCATGGCTACTCACGGCAGAACTCACGGTTGGCCCAAACAGAGCTCAAATACAGCGTCCTATGCGGCGAAATATGGCATCACACATCCTTCAACGACACTCGACAGACCTATCGACTTGTAAGAATCAAATTAATATTTGAACCGCGTGTGATTTTGTGCAATCGTGACTAACATGATGTTGTAAACAAACCGGTACAAGCTACGCACGCCGTTACACTATAACATAAGAAAGTTGGTGTTTATTTACAGTTTTTAGACTATTTATTTGCTTTGTTCCAGAGTAGACATTGAAAATTTTGTTTCAAATAATCGTGTGTTTTAAAGTGCACTATCCTACTGATCTTGAATTGATTTAAAATGCTTAGATTTCCTACACCAAAAATAACATATAATTTCTTGGCGGGGAATTCATAAACATGGAATCGAAAGTGTGTTTCTATAGACCTTCATTTGAAAGCGGTGTCCATCGATTTTTAATAGATATATTTCAATATGATATTATGAAAAAAGTCAAAACACGGAAAGAGAAAAGTATTTCCCAAACCATATCTTTTTGTATTAAGATATTGATTTAAGTAACCTGAATTGAAACAAGATACATTAAGATTTTATTCGTGGATGAAACAAATCAACAGTGAAGCCATCATATGTTAATCAAGTTTTGTTGCATTTTGTAATTACAATGGAACATTTGATTGGTTCAGGGAAGGTTCGGTTTGTAGAAATGAAGCAAGTTGACTGGACCAGACTTGGGTGTAATTAAACTGATTCTATTCTAGATATTACATTAACCATTCTGTTTGCTTTCAGCATTTATACTACACATATCCAACTGAATACAGACAAAAAAAACTTTATAGAATATTTTTACTTTATCTGTAGCTGTTTCTCATTTCAGTGAAATGATGGGCTCATTCAATATAGTTTCATTTTGTCATTGGTGATAACTATTTTATGTTTATTATAATTCTCCAATCAGGGTAAGTATTGTGTGCAAAGCCTAATGGTGACAGTCATACACACTGTCACCACAGATATTGATTCCATGGTCCGCTGGCATGGTCTGAACTCTGGTGAGACCGGTTTTCAGAAACAATTTTCAGTGTATTTCAATCTTTTTGGACACAGAATCAGTTTGGTATTTATGGTAGAGAGGGATCAGTATTTGGAAGGCTTTTTATTACTATAATAATGAAGACATCGGTCCATACATAGCCATTTCCTTCAGTTTCATGAGGTGATCAGTTTTGAGAAGGATTGGTTTGAGGAAGTTGCACTGTATTAAATATGTTACCAGGTTATTTAAACATAATCAAAATTGAATGTAATTCACGATCTGGTAGATGGTGTACCAGAGTTTTGGTCTACATTAGTTATTTACAAAGTATCAATGCTTTCATAATGTCCATGTTCTGTCAACACATTAATCAGGATATTGCACAGCCAAAGCATTGAAATGTTGCAAAATACATCCACACTAAAGTAAACTACTTAAAACAAAGTTAATATTCCAGTTTTTCGGCCGATCTACTGCTTTGAATTTTCTTGCCCATCAGAAAATTAAGGTATATGTATGGGAAGAGAGTTAACTCTATTCAGTTTCTTTTGTTTTGTTGTTGTTTCATAACTCAGTATTTGAAAGCATCCCTGTAGACCAGTTTTAGAGGTTCTGTGTTTGCTTCCAGGTCCTGCTTTTTAATTTTCACCCTTCTTTTTATTTTTGGTATACCGGTACATCTGTCTGTCTTTTCAAAGCAATTTTAATACAGAAGTTTATATGATTGAAACAGATTTGTAAACATGCTAAAATCTGAGAGTACCAATTCATTGAATATAAAAGATATTATAAAGATTTATAGAAGCATGCATATAGTGTTTTAGACATTAAGCTAAAATCAAATGATGTACTTGATAAGCATGTACTGTGAAGTGGTTGAATGGTGCAGTGGTTACACACTCATATTTCACCTAGATATCCAGGGTTCCTCTCCTTAAACAAATGTGAAAAGTTACATTTATGTATGGGGGTCACCTGCTCCACCACATGGAACTTTTCCCAGGAAACCCACTTTTCTCCCACAGGCACCTCATTCATTTCTACCTGTGCCAACAAGAATGATTAATATCAGCTGATAACATGTTTGCATTTGTTGAATAGAAATAAATTTATTTATGTTCTGGTAGTCTCATTGTAGTATTTATGTCCAAAATGGTCTTCTTCAGGTATCCCTTGACAAACTACACATTTGGAACCAAAGAACCACTTTATGAAAAAGACAGTTCAGTGCCAGCACGCTTTGCTCGGATGAGGGAGGATTTTGACAAGATAGGGATGCGAAGATCTGTGGAAGGAGTCCTAATTGTCCATGAACATGGACTTCCTCATGTCCTTCTTCTACAGCTCGGCACAACCTTTTTCAAATTGTGAGTATCTGTAGATCTGACTATGTGGTAGTGCATACCCATTTATATCTGGAAAATAAAACTGACCTGCATTTCAAAAGTTTTTCCTATCAATTGTAGTTTTTGAACAGTTTTAAAACAACAAATGCTTGGACTAAGTTTTGGAAATAATCAGTTTTTTCTAAAGATAGTATCAAATTGAGAGATCAAGGGAAGAAAGAAATTATCATAGTTCTTCCAATGCCTATTTCAACTTTTTTGTGTATTCATCGATACTTATGTTTTAAATCCTGATATTCAGTCTGAATATCTACAATGTATGTACTAGAGAGATAACTGGTTGTATTCAAGAAATTTCAAGAATTTGACTTTCAAATAATGTTCTCTATATGTAAAATGTTGCTCTCGTTAAGGTACTTTTTGCATTGTTAAGAAGTGAATTTGATAAAGACACTTTTTGAATACTGATGTCTTGTAGACCTGGGGGTGAGCTGAATGCACAAGAAGATCAAGTAGAAGGCCTGAAGCGTTTACTGACTGAGGTTAGTATGTCTGGGAGGATCAGATAGTTTCTGTACGTGAGATTCCTCATAATTAAAAAAGAAGATAAAATGATGCTCTGACTTCGTACAGGCTAGATTTAAAAAAACTGCTAATATCAATACACAAAGATCAGTTTAGAATGCATAGAAAAAAGTTCATCCATAACACTGCAACAGACTCCCAGCAAGCAATAATGTTTTCAATGAAAATGCTTTATTTCTTTAAAATGGTTGTAGTCCCTTAATGTATTTTTACTGTAAATAAATTACATTCTGTCGATCAAAACCACTGAAATGACATCACATGCCAACAATGCAAGTTGCATATTTTCTGCCCAGTCAATTTTATTTTAAGCATTTCGAATTATTCATTAGAATTGAAAAAAATAACCATATAGCTAAAAAATTCAAGATTTCCAAACATTCTTTGTGTTTGGGGATTATGAAAACTTTCTTCAAGTGATTAAAATATGCCAGTTTTTATACGCCCGTCAAAAGACGGACTTTTATGGTATGGCGCTGTCCGTCCATCCATCCAGCGTCCGTCATAAACTTTTATTTGTCCGGAGATCTCCTCCTACATTTTTCAGCAGATCTTTATGAAACTTGGTAGGCTTAATCACCATGATATGAAATTATGTTTTCCTGAACGTGGATTTGATTAGACGATTTGAATAAGAGTTTATTTCACTATAGAAATCTTGTCCGGAGATCTCCTCCAACATTTTTCAGCCAATCTTTATGAGACTTGGTAGGCTTAATCACCATGATATGAAATTGTGTTTTCCTGAACGGGGTTTTGATTAGACAATTTGAATAAGAGTTATGCCCCTTTGCTGTTTTGGATATTCACGGGCGTATTTGTTCCGCTTTGCGATACTCTTGTTGATAATTTTAAGAGTTGATTTTTAGAAAAATCTTTTACATTTTTTGTTTTGTTGCAATAAGTTTACAAACCAGATTGTTTTATTTTCCAGACATTAGGGAGACAAGATGGTGGTACCATGGAGTGGGTAATTGAAGACACGATAGGCAACTGGTGGCGACCTAACTTTGAACCACCACAGGTAAATATACATAGATACCAGTCATACGTGATGTGTCTGGTGAAATTTCCTAGATTTAATAAAAGCAATGCAGATCTATCCTGTCTTACAAAAGATTATTCCTTGTAGTGTTTCCCTTATGAAAAACAGAAAGGGTAAGAAAAAGAAAAAAAAGTTTGGAATAGGAGTATTTAAAAAAAAAACAAATTGGTTTCATTGTTGTTGTTATTTCCCTATTAATAGTGTATAATAGCTACAATGTTATAAACAGAAGTATTCTATGCTTTATATTCAGTACTTGGGTACTCTTTTCCATATATTCTTGTGATGATCCTTCTAAAATCAAACCCTGCACCAGGTCAGATAGCCAAGACTTTTGTCAAAATTTGCATAATATTGTATTTTGCCTGGTAAATGACTGATCAAGGCAATGCAAAAATTGCACTTTATTATGAAATATATTAAAGTGATTTTCTGACTTCAGTATCCCTATATCCCAGCACACATTACAAAGCCAAAGGAACACAAGAGACTGTTTCTGGTACAGCTGCCAGAAAAAGGTAAAGTAATTGATGAAGTTAACTTCTAGTCACAGCTTTAATAAAGTTCAGAGAAACAATATTAGCATTATGCATTTATTCACAAGTATAATTTACAGATAATGTTCCTGGTAAACAATTGTCAAATTGACACTGTGTATGTGGATAGGGTGGGTGTGTGTGTGTGTGTGCGGTGTGTGTGGGGTGTGTGTGTGTGTGTGTGTGTGAGGGTGTGTGTGTGTGTGTGTGTGGTGTGTGGGGGTGTGTGTGTGTGTGGGGGTGTGTGTGATGGGAGGTGGTGGGGGGCAGTCTAATAGGAGTCAATGAAAATTAGGTCACTTTTACCTATATTATGTTAAAGGAAGGCATCTTGGATGTCAGTCTTATAAAGATTTTTTCTTGCGTATTTTCCAAAAAGTTTGTGTAAAACACAAGGTATTCAATGCATTCTTTTCAATACTGGTATCTCACTTCAAAATTTCATAAGTTTAAAAGAACTGAGAAAAACAAATTATGTATTTATGTATTTTGGGTTCATATGAATTCCATTGACATATTTACATCAAATGTATAATACAAATATACCATAATTATGAATGACATGCATTAGCAAATATTTTGTAGTTTACTTGCATACAATATCACATTTGTGTAAAGATTTCACATGCAGATTCTTTCCTCATAGGAGTCATATCTACTTGCCTTTTTTCATTTTTTTCAGTTGAAAATTTTGATATTTGCTTGAATGTATTATTCATGAAGTCATCAAAATAAGTACAAGTACAATCTGCTCAGAGATTTTGTGAGAGGCACTGTATCTTTTGTTTGTTCACTCTTATTAGTCTCGTAATTAATCCAGTCATGATTTACATTCCAGCCCTCTTTGCCGTACCTAGAAATTACAAATTGGTGGCAGCTCCTCTCTTTGAATTATATGACAACTCAGCAGGTTATGGACCAATCATCTCCAGTTTACCACAAGCTCTAAGCAGGTAGGAACAGTCTTGAAAAAATTCACACCAAACTGATTATATTTCAGATCAAATGCTGTACATCAAGTCATTTCTTAAATAACTGCTTGCCTTGTAGGTTTTGAAATATTTTGATTTCTAATGTAAATGTTACAGTATTTAATTGTGAAATTTGTGTAAATTACTTTGTTGTTTGGCATTCTGACAGCTGTTTTAGTCCTGCTTTTTAAGACCAGAAGTGTTGGGATGTTTAATTCAAGGAAGATTACTCCATAAATAATAAAATTGTGGATATGGTATTAAGTGACAAACAGAGAAAATATACTTTTAGTTACTTTGGGTAACAATAAGTCTTTTATATACTTCCTTGTGTGTTTACTTTTAGATAAGTCCTTGAAAATGGGTTAGAACTCAGATTCAGGGACAAGAATATAGGCCCTTTGTCTTGTAGAGAAGAAGGAACATTTTAAAGTGCTGATTTTTGCAGTGCTAAATGTTGATAAATGGAAAATTGTTTTTAAGTCATGAAAAATGTCAATCAAATATATTTAATGTCTTGGAAAAAAAAGGGACTTTCTTGTAGACTGGTTGCTTAGGGCCACATATCTTTTTAAGAGATGTTATCAAACAGCTCCTGGAAAACTTGTGTCCAAAGGATTCTATTCTATTTTATTTTGACATGATTATGAGGATACACATTTAGTAGTATAACCATTGTATTGTTTATTGCTATTTTAATAATGAAGAAAATTTTACTGAGGTAAAATTAAAAGTGATATTTTACGAGAGTTGTTTCCCTTTAACTTAAAAAAGGCACCAAAATGATTCCCACTTTAGCTCTTATGTTTGAATGATGATGGTAACATGGCAGTATTTTCTTTCTTGTCCTTGTTTGTCTGTTGTGCCTTGTTTGCAATTGATGTTCCAAAATGTAGGTGTCATGTCATATTTTATTTTGAATTTATCTAAGAAGAACTCAGTGACCATTTTGTTTGTTACGATTCTGTAAGTGATTACCTCGGAACAGTTCATGATTTACATTTATTTTCTGGAATTTTCTAGAGTTAGACATCTTTTATTCTACAATTTGTGTTGTATATATATGTAGTGGTTTAATTGTTAAAATTCTGAAGATAGCCAGTATAAAATTATGTATAGTATACACTTAGAACTAGAAAACAAGGCATTCTCCTGAATAAGTCTATCTTGAATGTAAGCCTGTTGTTTCTTTCATTAAAAATCCCGCTACATTTGATTACTATTAAAGAAAATCAGCTACATCTTACTTTAAGCTTTTTAGTTAATTACATGTCTGAATCATGGCCTGGTCTGGATCAGATTGTAGAGAAAAATAAAATATATAACCTGTATGCGCTTGATATCAATATATCTATTTCAAACTTGATGAAATTTACATGTTTAAGACCTAAATCCTTAGAAAAATACATTGTTTGATCTCCTTAAGATGAACTTTCACTTGTCTATCTTAACATATTATAATATAAGCTTTTCTCTCTGATGAACTAATTGGATTTTAAAAGTTATGTGTTTCAAAGTATTATTTCAAACTACTTGTACATGAAACAAGAGCATCCATTTGAAATCCTTTGAAAAAAAGAAGAGTTGTCAAAAGTGAAGTAAAGATGTTGTATGTAGATCAATTTGTCAAACATTAAGCTTAAGATTGTAAATAATTATAATGAAAAAATAGATAGATATCGTTTAATGTGATTAGTCAAAGTTTTACTTTCAATATTTGATTGGTGGCTGAAGGAAAGTATAACAAAACTGTAAGAGTTGTCTCCCTTTGGGTTGGAAATGTATTTCTGATGTATTTTATTAAGAAATAATCATGAACGCGGTAAACCTGACAGGCAAGTGTTCATGTTCAATCTCAACTACCATATCAAAGTGAATGCAAAGAATATTTGAATTGTTTCTTTTGGAAAAGACATTGTATTGTTTGTTTTGAAATAAACAAGGAGTACTGCAATAGTTTTCTGCCTACATAAAGTTGAACACAGCTTGTGGCTAGTCATAAGTGACAGTTCTGGGAATAGAGTCATGAAAACATTGTTTGTTCTGATTGCAAAGTCAAGACAGGTAAATTATGGATGTGAAAAAATTATCAAATGTCAGTCTAGACCCTGCAAGTGTGACTGGCGTCAGATGGTTGAATAAGTTGGTCAGTTAGTGACTTTACACACTATAAGGCACTAAGCTATAATAATCAGACTTGTGTTCATTTTAATACTAGTGGTGTAGCCAAAAAAGGATTCTTTCAGCAGTCATAATTTTTTTCTCTCTTATTAATTAGAGATCTCAAATGAATGGGAAAGATTCTTAGGTTTTCAGTCTTTAAAGTTTCTTATTAAGTAATAATTTTAGATCCACCATCGCTTCCTCAAATGAGTAAAGGTTAACTCTTATATCTTAGTGTGGTCCAGTAACAGATGCAGTGAAAATAATGATTTGCTCAAACATTTTTTATTAACAGTACATCAAAGGCTGTAGACACAAGTTACAACTCATATTACTAGGTTCTCTGTCTTCCAAATTATTGATATATAAAATGAGCTTTATTTATTTCACAACAATTGCGAAACAAGATTTCAACTTATATCAATCAATCTCGTTGGCCTGGATGGAAGTGTGCGGGGAGTTGGGTGGGGCGGAGGAAGAGGTCTTATCGTGGTTGGGCAGGTGACCCCATTCCTTTTCACGTCCGTTCCAGGAATCAAACCCTAGATAGCTAGGCGAGTGTGTTACCACTGTGCCACCCGACCATCATTATTGATCTAAATACATTTTGAGATAAATTCAATTCTTTGAACAATGAACAGATATATTTAACATTTTAAACATTTATTGAGAAACATGGACCTTAAAGTTTTAGATATCTTTCACCTCCTGGTAGATGTACTATCTGATGGTTCTGCTTCATTGCCATTTTCTCTTGATTTGCTCGTCATTCAATGGTAAAACAGTGTTCTTATTCCTAGTTACTATTGACAGAAATTAAAAGTTGTGAATCATTATAGCCATTGAGTCATTGTTAACTTACTTTCTTGAGAAATGTCTGAAATTGTTGGTTGAATTAGATGACCATTCCGCATATATGAGTCATGTGACTATCATGCAGATTCTGAGTCATGTGACTTTTTCACTTGAATCATGTGATTTTTTTTTCTCAGGTTCCTTGGACTTTACACATCTTTTTTTTCTTGTTTGTTTGTTTATTTGTATGTTTGGAAAAGTTTGATAAGATATTCAGAATCTCCTAAAAGAATTTATTTAATACATAGGATTTCAATTTCTTTAAAAGTATCTAAATTTTAAGCATCACTTTGGTGTTTATTTTAGAGTTGCTTTGATTCATTTATCTATTTTTTTTGACCAAATATAGCAAAATCACTTAATGAAATATAATAAGTAGGGAAATGGAATCAACAAAGTGTTTATATACACTTGTTATCAGCAGTGATTATTTGAATCATGGGATGTAAGGGACACAAGAATGCTTAACATTGCATGAGTCATTTTTTCTATTTTGACAATTCTGCTTTCTTTGAAATGGATTTATGATATTTCCAGCAACTTTTATGGACAATTTTGTACATGAAGATCTATCTGTACAGCAGTCTTGAGCTATAGATAACACTCATTACCTGCTGAGCAAGCACACTCTATTACCTTTCCTTTAATTTCTGGCAGTATAATTGGCAAAATTCTTCAGTTTTTCCATTTTAATTTGAAATTAAAAGTTTCTTACCCACATTCGCAATGTTATGTTTTAATAAGAAATTAAATCTTAGTTGGTTCTTTTAACTTGAAAATACCAATGAATCCTTCAGAGTTTTTATCTTTGATATTATAAGAAGGAATGAAAGTACATCAAATGTCTAGCGTCTGTATCAACACAATAATTGTAAAACTCCTATTGTGAAAAAGTGATAAACCTTATGCTGTTATTTAACTTCATGGATTCTACCAGAAATAAGCCACAGGAATCTGTTGGTAGTGACGTAATTCATTTATATTGAGCGAATGGAAAGAATTAGCCAACACCAGTGGAAGAAGGAAAGTCAGCAAATTCAGGGATATAGCTGGTTACAGGCAAAGGGAAAAAGGTTTGAACAAGACATAGTTTGTACTGCAAAATTATGGGGATGGGTTTTTGTGGGGCTTTTTTTTGTGGTTTTTGAAAAATTCACAATTTTGCAGACAATTGACTTTGTGAATAAATATAGCTCTCTAAATTGACTTAAACTAATGATGACATATTGTGGACATATAAATCTGTAGATAAAGAACTCTACTCATGAAATCAATGAAAATTAATCCCCTACCAAAATTTATCATTTTACAGTATATTAAATTCAGGTCTGATGTTTAGTTCATACATTGTATAATATACATCTTACAATATACATATTATACAAATTTATCTGCAAATACACCCCTTCTTCCTTTTTGTAGATTCATTAATTTCAAAATAGTTATCTAAAAGAGATTCACAAAGGAGCCCTGCACACACATATTAGTACTAAATGTTTTTACAAGGGAAGGTGACGTGTTTGAGGAGAAATACAGTAAAAGTTCTCTCATAACACTGTATGTACAGAAAACATACATACATTATACGTGACAATTATATTTACAGGTACACATACCTTAAAACTCCTTCAGGTCCCAGGTATACATACCTTAAACTCCCATCAGGTCCCTGGTACACATACCTTAAAACCCCTTCAGGTCCCAGGTATACATACCTTAAACTCCCATCAGGTCCCTGGTACAAATACCTTAAAACCCCATCAGGTCCCTGGTACAAATACCTTAAAACCCCATCAGGTCCCAGGTACACATACCTTAAACTCCCATCAGGTCCTTCAGCAATCTGCTATATAATATGTAAAAGATGAATTTCAGTACAAACAGTAAAAATTAACATGGCCAATCATCATTTGTGTGGTTATGTGGTGCAGTGATAATGCACTCACCTTTCACTTAGGTGTCTA